TCGCAGTGGCTTTTCTCTTTTTTTAAAATTTAAAAAAGGAGTTACGGGGACGGAGATTTTCAGACGACAGTGAGACGAAAGCGGCATTTCAAATACAGAAATCTAAAGAATATTTTTTCACCGATATAGGTCGTATCTCAATTGAGGGGGGCTAAAATCAAAAACATAAAACTATACATTTGTTGCATTAACTACTTTAGGTCGCAAAAATGTCAGTCGCCCCTCGTATGTATGTATGTACCTGCTGGAGTGTATTATGTTTAATGGATACAAATTAATTGAGGAAACATTTCAATTCAGAAAATGAATTGCGAATAAAATCGCCAAAAGACTGCGTATCAAATTTCCACGCACACAAACAGAGAACTTAAAATAAATGAAGTTAAGAAACGAATAAAACTGAGCACGTTTAGGGTTAATAGAGACAGATAGAGAGAGGTGGGGTGTGAAAAAGGCGCACCAAACTATAAAATAAACACACTTGAACTGAAAAAAATGCACAAAAATACGCAATAAGCGAATAAGGACGCTGCAAATCTACCATGACAAGTGATAAAAAGCAAAAGTGATCAACTGACAGTAAAGAATTTTAATGGTCCACAAAATGGATACGCTTAAATGCGGCAAAACCGATATTGAAAATTGAAAGTTTATGCCAGACAAGCACTACGCCCGCTGCGGCACACCCCGGTCGAACCCTTTTTGGAATAAGGTGAAAAAAACACAATACAAAAGTGTGAAATACAAATATTGTTTGCAATATATACATTCATACATACATACATGCATAAATGTAAGAGAATATATGCTTTTATTATGCATTTTTTTTTAACGCAATAACAATAACATTAGCAGCTTAACAGCGTCAAGTGAAAGCATCAATTAAAGGCATCAGCGTGCGCTGACGAAAAAAAAAATTAAATAAAATCAATACACAATGACAGCAATGCGTGAGGGCGTTAGGGGCGTTCGCAAAATAGATGTGATGTCAAATAAAAAAAAATGTTTTACTTAATGGCTGACAGATGCTGCCAAAATCGAGTGAAATTATTTGCAATTGAATTGAGTGTCAAACGGTTGTCAGGCATTTTAACATGCGACAAGGCGCGCTGATCAAAAGTGATGAACTTGTTTGCCAAGGGAGTTAACTTCGTTGTTGCAAAAATATTTGCTTATAAATTCGTAATACAATAATTTTTTTCAACTACATATACGAGGGGATTAACAAAAGTGCGGTAAATTGAACAGAAAAAAAGGTAAAAATTCTTTTTGTATTTATTGATTGATTTCAATGCATTCTTGAAGCCTTCAGATCCACTTCTGAAAGCTGTCTTCACATCCATGCCTTTTTAGCTTATTAAATTCAGCGTTAACCGCATTAATTGTCTCCTCGTTGCTATTGCAGACTTTTCTTTTTAATTTTTGGAAATAACCAGAAACCAGATGGTGCTATATCCGGGGAATATGATGCTGGACGTATTCCTTTGGTCTCAAAAATACAACAAGATTACTACTAATTTCAGCAGTGTGGAATGGCGCATTGTCATGATGTTACAAGAAGCGCCGAAAACCCTCTTTCTTCCTGCTTTCCTAATTTTTTTTGAAATCTTTTGGTAAGCAGTCTTCGTTGTGCCATTTTGCAATTACCATCTGACACTTTTCCATTAGAATAGCATCCATGGACAGCATTGAGATCAGGTGAAGTAAACTGACATCATTACTTTTGCTGCTGATTTTGGTTGCTTAGTTTTTAAGGGTGGGTTTGCTGCTGTTGAACTCCATACTAGGGACTGCTGCTTGGTTTCCGGATCGTACTTACTGAACCGAATTTTGATAAGGAAAAATTGAGCAAAATGCACTGGAGCCTCTTTTTGGGCCTCATTTAAAATTCGTGGTACCCATCGAGCATATTTCTTCGTCTAACCCAGATGATTAATTAATATTTGCGATACAACCATGACATTCAACCTCAATTTATTAGCAATCATTTATTGCAATAATCGTGGATCTTATTTAATTTTCGATTTCACCAGAGCTTTAGTGACGTCACCAGTGGAAGATTTTGGTTGACCTTCTCAAAGGTCTGCCTCTACGGAAAAATATACGGTCTGGAGTTTTCAGAATCACTTAGAGGTAGTATGTCAAGGCAGTACAATCGTTTCATATGCAATATGCTGTTTTTAGATTTAGGTCTAAGGAAGTCTTTATACCCTTCATGAACATATACATACACTTTGAGGTATAGCATGTTTTTTTACGATCCTAACCTCAAATCTCATATGTGGAAAATCAGTAATAAAAGGGATATTTAATATGAACCTCCGTTTCCGATGGTTTTTAGTGTAAATACCATTTGTAATATAATATGTTTTAGAAATTTTTTAGCGCTCTTCAATATTTTTTTTTGCGGATTTTCAACCCAAAAATTCGGTTAGAAATATGTCTACTCATAACATAAAGTTGCCAAACGATCAAATACAATATAAAAGTGATTCTGTTGGAATATCTCCAAAGGTAACGAAGTAATTTGCGTCCAAACAGACGGAGAGATTTTTTTCGGCTGCAGGGTGCCAGTCCCAGGAAGTGGGAGTAAATTTGAAAATTTCATGTGATTCCCTCAAAAAGAAAATTTCATCAACAATATGAAAACTATAGCATAAAATAAGTAAAATGCGTTATTTAAGCACCTTTGCCCCATTGTGCAGCGTGTTGTCATGCGCTCATCAAAGTATTGTCTCGTTGGCCAGACAAGGGGATTAACAAAACTTCGGTCAGTTGGTGACCTTCAATTTGTTTCGGTTAAATCTAAGAGCAGCAAATTCTTTGCAATTATTTTATTAGTCCTCCTTTCAAATTTTAGAACGACCGGCTAAAATTGAGACGAAAAAACGCAAGATATCTGAGGACAGGTAAGGAGAAATTTCTCCACCAACCCAAACAAAATATCGCCATGGTATTCTCTTCGGGCTTCAGCGTAGTTTACAGCCGATACAAATATTTACTGCATGCCAAATAGCATACGGAATGATTACATCGTCTTCAAATACTATTTCTTAGAGGTTCCATAGAGGATGAGCCCCGAGAAGGTCGACCAAAATCTTTCACTGATGATGTCACGATAGCTCTGGTGAAGTCCAAAATTTAATTTGGGCTTTTAATGTCAAAGCTGTATCGTGAATACTTAGTAATCAATCTGATCGATAAGTACCACGAATTTTGAATGAGACCCGAAAAGAGGCTCCAGTGCATTTTATTAAATTTTTCCTACACAAACGCGAAAATAGTCAGATTAGAAACCTTAGTTAAGCCATTACTGGTGTAGAATCACGATTCTATAAGTACGATCTAGAAACCAAACAGCAGTCCATGGTATGGAACCACAAAAGAGCAAATGCACCCTTAAAATCTAAGCAACAAAAATCAGCAGCAAAAGCAATGATGCCAGCTTACTACACCCGATCTAAAATCTGCCCCTAGCTGCTTTTCCACTGGAAAGGGGTCAGACGGTAACTGTAAATGGTACACTGACGACTGCTTACCAAAAGATTTCAAAAAAATTTTGGAAAGCAGGAAGAAAGAGGATTTGCGGCGCTTCTTTTAACATCATGACAACGCGCCATTCCACACTGCTGAAATAACGAGTAATTTTAATGCGATCGCTGAGGTCCAAGAAATACCTCCATCCCTATATTTCCCAGATTTGGCACCTTGTGGTCTGGGTATTTCCATAAAATAAAAAAAAATTAAAGAGAAAGGTCTGTAACAGGAATGAGAGATGATGAGGCTAATGCTGAACTTGATAAGTTTAAAAAACAGGATTTTGAAGACTGTTTTCAGAAGTGGATCTATAGGCTTATGAAAAGCATAAAATAATTTTTTTTTCTGTTTAACTTATCGAACTGTTGTTAATCCTCACGTATGAGTATGTATACGGCATGTATCGGATTGGCTGAAATATTTACCGTTAAAAATGTTATCAAAATAGATTTTTTTTATCCCGAACGAACATTGGTTTGTGAAAATTGAAGAGGTAATTTTATTTAATATTTTGACTATTTGTCTAAAATAAAGCAACTTAGATTGTCTGTATGGGTCACAGCGGATCTAGGGCGTTTCCCTTTACTTTTTGCAGCATATCGGGCAGTATAGCGACCAAATATTTTTCTAAGATTTAACTGTATATCTTGTTTTTTGTATTTATTTGTTTACTGCATAATAGAATGGTTTTTCCACTTTAAATTGATGAGTTAAAATTTTCGGCGTTTGGTTTTCTTATTTGGTCAAAGCGTATAACAATAGAGCCATAGCGAATTGAGTTAAATGAGATAAGATTCTTAATATTGTATATAACTGGATTACCTAGATCATTATGCAATGAAAGAGCGAAAACAAAATGACCATGAAGATGAGAGAGTGAAAGGGATAGATAGATATATAGATAGCAACAAAGAGAGTTAGAGAAAGAGAGAGAGAGAGAAAGAGTTAGAAAGTTGGAGAAAGAGAGAGAGAGAGAGAGGGAAACACTTTAAGCCTTATACATTATAGACATTATTGTGCAAAATTTCAATTCCTTTAACTATGTACCTACTATGTTACGAAATGGGTAAAATTAAATTTCGATTCAAAAACTAACATATACTTACCTACTTAAGTGTATCTTATTCAAAACATTTCACCAAATATGCCCTGTTTCTAACGTTTTCGTGGAAATCTTAAGAAAGGGTTTAATTGCTTGGTAATGACCGTGACGAGAACACAATAGACTAAAGGACGGTCGAGGAATAACGATTAAAATTTTTTAGCAAATACATAATTTATATACCAAACCAAAAATTTTAGTGATATTTCGTAAAAAACTTTACCTGAGAGTTGGCTATAAAATCTGGTCGCGATGTGGTCAGAAATAACATTTAATACCAGAACTTAGTGGTGCATAGACCAAATTAAAAAGTAAAACATAATACAGTGAATATTAGAAGAAAAAGAACTGTTTGAACAGAATGGATTCCAGCGCATCTGACTCGTCTGCTACTTCATCAAACCGTCACGAATATCGCCTGATCATATCGAATTTGGCGCATGACGTTAGCCGCAAAGATCTTGAAGATCACTTACGAAAAGTTGGCGAAATCGCATATTATACGAAAAAAGGCGCAATTGTGGGGTTTTCGACACCATCCGCCATGAAAAAGGCGTTCAAAGAATTGAACGGAAGCCAACTAAAGGGTAAACGTATACAATTAACTGAGTATACCGATCGGAGTAGGTCGCGTATACGTTCTACGCGCGCACGCGGACTATCCTTATCCTCACCCTCACCGGTGAGGAATAGATGGTATGCAACTGAAAATGTGCCCTCGGAGTGCACATCACCAGTGGAAACGTGTACAGAATCAAGCTGCAGTACAAACGAGCTGAGTGATGTTAACAAGCGTAAAGCAGAGCCGCTTTGCAATGCATCCAAACGCGCGCGCAATGATCGTTTTAGGTTGGGTTATCGCTGCAAATCACGCTCGTCCAAACGTTTTCGTGCAATTTCGTCATCAGAGTCGAGTGACGATGACTCTTCTGGCAATTCCATATCATTTATACCTCCACCTAGAATGCTGCGTCGAAGCGTTTACTATTCCAATCAAAGTGCATCAGCGATTCCATATGACTCCAATTCACGATCCACGTCCGAAGAGGAGTTTATAGAACTTGATCAAGGTTCGCAAGCAGATGAAGATAGCGCACAAGACCATGAGGAGAGTGGCTCCACCAGTAGTGATGTCGGTTATGTGTCACTTTTATTCGATAATTTAAGAGCATGTTACTAATAACAGTACAAAAAACATGGTAGTTTCACTCAAAAATTGTTCATAAATATTATCTATCTGACATAAAAAGATTATTAGACTTTTGCTTTATTTATGTGCTACTAGTTTCATTTTTTAAAAAATAAATTTTCAACTCTCCAAAAATAAATGAATATATAAATATGTTAAAAGAAAGCAAACCCTTTCAATGTATAAAAAGAAAATAAAAACATTTAATCGCTTTCAAAAAAAAACCCATGGCCTTTGCATTGTATTTTCAGAAATCGAATGGAAATTAAACTATTTGCAGGCGGCCTAACATTTTTTTATACAAAAATATATGAAATATTTTTAAAGTGGCAATATCTTGAATTTTGTTACTATTTCGTATTCTGAGCTCACTCTCTCACTGTAAGTTTTGTTACCAGCGAGATAGGAGGTAACAACCAATCAGCTGTTCGATTTTGTCTCTTCAAAATAGAATTAGTTGAAAATAGAGAAAAAAGTACAAGAGGAGCATGTGTAATGGCCTAAAAAAGGTGATTTTTACTGTATTGTACTATGTCAATGGGAACTGGCCGTGACTGAATTCCTTGCCAAAAAAAAAACGGAAGACGTCGATAGAACTTTTTAAAAAGATGTCATCGGTTCTTCATGACTCTACACATAGGATGGTGAAAAAATGGGGTCGTTTTTGCAGGAAGATGTTCAAAAAGTCCAAAAATTAGTACTGGCTGATTGAAGACCTGAACTGTGGCAGATAGCAGAAGGGTTACAGATTGGTAAAGAATGAGCTGGAGAGGTTTCGCACTAACCTTTGCATCTGAAAAAAACTAGTACGCGTTGGGTATCGGGTATGCTCACGCCGCTCGACAAGCAGCAACGATTGCAGAGTTGTAAGGATTTTCTTGAGTTCTGCCAAGACTATTTGGATGAAATTTGCAATCGCATTGTAGCAGTTGATGAAACCTGAATTTGTCAGTATGATCCCGAGTCCAAACAGAAGTCGATGCAGTGGATAAAAAAAGTTTAAAGGTTACCAAAAAAAATTCAAAGTCGAATGTTCTGTTTACCATTTTCTGGGATAGCGAGAGAATATTATTAATTGATTACTTGCCAGACGCGTGATGCAGTCGTACTAATAAAAACGTGGCAAGCTCTCGCGCTGAGCACTGTTTGTTCAGGGCCGCGAAAAAGTCTATCGCTCCTCGTATCTCAATTGTGACGACAGGAGTAATGAAGTTAATGTTTTATACTACTTTTTTCACAGATTTGTGCCTTATTGTTTTTACATAACTAGAGTCATGCAAAAGCAGAGTAAAGCCTGATTTATTATATTTATAATTGGCGCTTTGTAACCACTTAAGCTATTTTCGACCGAGCTCTTCTTCCAATTTGTTTTTTAGCGTCTTCCAACACATGGAGGGGCCAAAAGACCGAACGACTCATGGTTTTTTTATGAGAAGCTTTATTTCATGTCAGAAACACATTCGGAGGGGTGGGCATTCCCTGCCGAGGGACATTCCCTACCGAGACTCTACCGCAATTAGAAAATTTACCTTAATTTTTGATTTAAAGGATTTGAATCCTTGAAGGAGATCTTCTAATATATGTTGGCAATGTTAACTGTTCTTCTGAGCTATGCAGAGAAATTTTGTTTTGGTTTCCAGGACTTGGTTAAAACCATTAAGAGATGCGGAATTTATTTTCAGCATTTTATACAATTTTGCCAACAGATGAAATTGCACCTTTCTTGGCGCAGACACTACCGGAGTCTTCGAGGAGTCCCTAACAATGACAGAGAATAACTTTGAGTGTTTTTTTTTAGGACATGAGTAGACACGAGTTAACGAGAAGAACCTCAAAGACCGAAGTTTCATCTGCGAATCACTGCTGAATCGTAAAGAAAAACATATCGACCCATTTATGAAGCGAACGGTGACTGGTGATGAAAACTGGATCACTTACAGCAACATCAAACTTAACGGTTGTCGACGAAGGGCAGTGCGTCGGCACAAACGGTCTTCAAACCAAGAAGGTTTTGTTGTGAGCTTGACTGGTTTTGAAAGGAGACATCTCCTACGAGCTACTCCTCTACGACAAACTCTTAATTCGGACCTATACCGTCTGCAATGCATCGTACGAAGGGAGTTATGTTTCATCAGGACAATGACAGACCGCACACATCGATAATAACTCGCCAGAAGTTCTAAAATATTCGATTGAGAAGTTCTTAGGTATCCACCTTATAGATCGGTCCAACAACCAAGTGATTACCTTCAGCTGGTCCTGTCCATAGTGAATGGTTTGGCTGGCAAAAAGTTAGAATCAAAAGAAGTGAAAATCGATTGTCCTAATTTTAAAAAATTATCGTGCCAAGCGGTGCACATTGAAATTAATACACAAATAATGGATGACTTTTTACTTAACCAATATATGAATTTCATATAATCGCAACTATCCATTGTTTAAATGAAACGAAAGTGAGTTTTTTTTTTATAATTTCATATATTTTTCCTTTTGTTTTTATTTGAATTTCTCTTATTACTCACATGAGCCTTTATTTACTCTGTGTGCATGTATTTTTGTATGTATGTATGCGTGTTGTTTGTTTTCATTTTTCATTTTATCATTAACTCTTCATTGTAATTTAAACATTCATAAGTAGTGTCAATCATTTTAAATTAATTAAATTACGTTTTCATTATACATATACATACACATATAGGCATAAATGTATATATGTACTCGTATGTATGTATAATGTGCATACAGTTGATTTTGTTTATTTGTTAATAATTTCTTATTTTTTCGTTCTTCGTGTTTAATGTGTAGATGTGTGTTTTTGCTTTTGTTTATATGTGTGTGTGTGTATATATAATGTTTATTTGCTTAAACAATACAATATTAAATTAATTATTAGTAATTGTAATTATTACAGTTTATCAATTAATTTTAGTCTATGTAGTACTATATATGTATGCATATATGTATACTATGTATGTATTTGTATTTATAATTAATTATGCTTACCCTCACTTTGCGCTAAATCGATTGTTTTTTGCAATACATTTTCAATTCACTTAGTTCGTATTGTTTTCGTTTATTTTTTTTTTTTTGGTTTTTTTTATTTTTATTTTTTTCTTCAATTATTTCTTATGATGTACAGATGTATTATATTTATGTGAGATATACATATGTATGTATTTATCAGTTTGTTTGTTTGCAAGCTACAATTCTGCTGTGTTGCACTATTGTTTAGTTATGTTTAAATTTTTTAAATTTTTTATTTTATTTTTTTAATGCTTTGTTCTGTCAATTAAATACTAAATGCGTGATTAACAGTTAATTTCTTATTTAAAATATTTTGAATTATTAATACATTTTGTATCAATTTGATACAAACAAAAAAATTAACGAATATTTATAATGTTAAAAATTATTTATTTAACTCTTGCTTTTTCATTAAAAAAAATAAGCTACGCTAAAGTTATTTTATTTACAACTCACTTTCTACCATGATTAAATGGAAAATTTTATTGTGCGAAGCGTGAAAATTAATTAAATATAGTTTCAAGCAGAAATGTGTTTGAAATAACTGCTAATATGTTTTTAAGGAGTTTTTAAGAGACAAAACAAGAGAGCAAAAACTAAAAACTAAAAAACAAAAACTAAAAACTAAAAAAAAGTTTTTAATAGTCTATATATGTATATAGACACTTTTTAGTATGATTTTTTTAAGCTCTTGAGGGTGAATTTTAGAATATATTTAATACGGTTTTTAGTAATTTTTTTTGAAATATTGGGTGTATGCATTGATTCGTGCGGTTTTCTAAGAGAGGGCTCTGTGTCGTGTTCATCTGTGGCTATATTCACTTCAAAGGTACTGTCATTTCGCGTAGTTTTTAGTGAACAAAAATTTGTTTCATTCATTTGAAAATATCGAAATTCGCACCGGATAAAGTGTTTTTACGTGGAAGTTCTTCTACATTACTCTAACATGAAGAAAAGTGCCACCGAAAGCCATAGTATTTTACTAGACGTTATGGTGACCATGCTTTAGCTGAACGAGCGTGCCAAAAGTGGTTTGCACGATTTAAGAGTGGCAATTTCGACTTAGACGACGGAGAACGAGCCGCACAGCCAAACAAATTTCAAAACAAAGAATTGGAGACATTGCACGACGCAGATGCATGCCAGACGCAAGAAGAATTCGCAAAAGTTTAAGGAGTTGATTTCCGCTAATGAAAAACATTAGGTTTCATCCAGAAGCTTGGAAATTGGATTCCCTAAGAATTAAAGCCAAGAGACGTCGATTGTCGATTCTGCATGTCGGAAATGTTGCCACCAAAAGAAGGCATTTGTGCATCGGATTGTCACTGGCGATGAAAAATAGATTCACTACGATAACCCAAAGCGCAAGAGATTGTATGTGAAGCCCGGCCAACCATCGACATACACGGCAAAGCCGAATATGCATGGTTCCAAGGTTATTCTATGTATTTGACGGGATCACAAGGGTGTGCTTTTTTATGAACTATTCAAATCGCGTAAAACGATCGAACGGGAACCTCTACCGTAAACAATTGATTCGTTTGAAAAAGGCCATCGCGCAAAAACGACCGAAATAGGCGACCAGGCGCGAATCAATAATTTTTCATCATGACAACGCTCGGCTATATGTTGCAAGGCCAGTTAAAAAACTATTTAGAAAACTGTGAGTGGGAAGTTCGAATTCACCCGCCTTATAGCCCAGATATGGCACCTTCCGACTATGCAGAATGCCCTCAGCGGAGTACGCTTAACTACAGAACAGGGTATCAGAAATTGGCTCGATTATTTCTTGACCTCCGAGCCGGAGAAGTTCTTTTGGGATGTGGCCCAAAAACTGCCAGAAAGATGGGCAAGCATCGTAGCATCCGATGGGCAATACTTTGAATATTAACTATATAACAATTTTTTCACAATAAAGTCTTAACTTTCGAAAAAAAAAACGAATGAATTAATGCATACAACCAATATAACGGAAGAAATGTAATGAAGTAATTTAACAATTAACTTTTGAAATCTGTTTAATACGATTTTAAGAAAATTTTAAGATACGTTCAGATAATTAAAGAAAATAAAGAAAAAATAAACAAATATTTTCAACAAACATATAGTATAGGAAAGATTACTTAGAAGATCCTGAGGATTAATTTACGGAAATATATAATATTTCTCTAATTTTAGTTTTGGAAAATATTTTCAACGTAATTTTTTTAACCTAAATATAAGTTGAGGAACAAAATAAATCAAATGCCTTTAATTTTTATTTTTCAGTTGAAAAAATAAAACATTAATAAAAAAATTATAGAAATATTTTCAAAATGATTTTTTTCTGAATTTTATTGTATTTCAAGGAAGGAAGAAATAAATTCAAAACAAAATTCGTAATTGAAAAAAGAAAATTGTTTACTGATATATATAGAGACACTTAAGAGTGCTTTTCAGGAAATAGAATATTGCAAAGCAGTAAATTAAAACAGTTACAAATAAAACAACAAATGGTGCACATACTTCGTATTTCCATAAGCTAGCCATAGATTGTTATTTTTTTAAATATTTTTTTTTAGTTTCGTTTTAATAGTTACTTGGAAATTTACAAGTTTCTTTACAGTCTACACAGTGTGGGAGGTCTCTAAAATATACATACATATAGATACAATTATTTAAATACGCGTTTTTTCTTTACTTATAACAATTTTATTAAATAACTTTTTACAAATTACAAATACAACTTAATGGCTAAATTTTTACAAGTCTTGTGAGTTGATTAATTTTTTGTATATGTATGTATGTAAGTATATAGTTTTTATATATAATTTTTTTTTTTTTTTTTAAATTTTTATTATCTCAAGTGATAGGCGTGGGTGGAGTGTGTGTGTGTTTTTTTCGCAAAAAAATAAAAAAAAATAAAATGAAGAATGGTAAAAGATTAACGAAAAATTATGAAAAAAGCTCTTCATAAAAAAGATTATTTCTAAGTTCTTTAGCTAAAAGTTTCGGTAAAAAGAAATGTATATGAAAAAAAATAATAGAAGAATTTTATATGTTAAAAAAAATAGACATTTAAGTGGTTATATTTTTACAAAAAATTAAACGGAAATTCCGCAGAGTTAGCATGGACTGGCATTGAAATTTTAATATAATTTTTTTTGAAATGAAAATATGTGGGTTTCTGAGAAATTTTCGTTGGTCTACTGGAATAGCTATAGAGTGGCGTGTTTGGCTACTCATAATTAAAAAATGTGTGAAATTCGAAAAAAGCATTTCTAAACAGCTTTCGAGAGAGTCAGTATGAAGCAGATATTTGGAGAATGTGAATTTTATAGTTTGAAAAGATTTCAGCGGTTATAAGTCGGTGGAAATGTTAGAATTTTGTGGAGATTTTTTTAACAATAGAAAGCTTTTAAAATAATTCTTTAATAATATAAAATCATAATTTTAAAATTTTTTATTTTATTTAAGGTTGCCATCAACAAAACGCATATAGAAAACATGACACAAATGAAAAATATGTATGAGAAATTCAACAAAATTAATTAAAATTTTAAAATAAATTAGATACTTGAAATGAAATATAAGTAAATAAATAAATTATATAAAAAAGTAGTATATTTAAAAAAATGTATCTCGGAGTTAAAATTTGTTTAATGAACGAATTATAAACATAAAAAATTGAAGAAAAGTGAGCATATTTTTATGTTGACTCACGAAATTGTAGCATAGAAAATTAGTTTGTTCACGAAAAGTTTTAAGATTTTTAATATCTTTTAAAGTATTGAAATTTTTCTAGAAAAAAATTAAGTTTTTTCAGAAAAAAACTTCAAAAACATTAACTTTACTTCAATTTTAAATGTGCTTAGTTATTTAAATTATGCACAAACAGTATTGCAATCAATTAAATATTTATTAACACCTGCTTCTATGGTTTCGCTACATTTTTTGTTTGCATTTCTTTTGCTATTAATTTCTAAAAATGTGCTTTAAAAATCTACGCTTACTGATATTTTCAGCTTAAACTATGTTTTTGCTTTCTTTCACTTAAATACCGTACTGGCTTCAATACTCTTAAAATTTCTCTCAGTGTAAGCTAATAGCAATACTAAATTTAGTACTGCGCCCTTTTAGCAAAATTATTATTTTTTTTTTTTCTATTTTATTTCAACCAAATCTATTGTTTTCTGCTACTATTTTCGTATATATATGTATATACACTTTGTTATTTATAAAAAAAATTAAATTCATGCTACAAATGCTCGTTTACAAAGCGCGCCATTGCTGCCTACTGCTGATTATGAAATTTTGTGATGTTGCCACATTGATAGACTAAATGTTTCCATATTAATTATTTTATTTTATTTTAATTTTTTTTTCTTTTCAAAGTAATAAAAAAAATATTTCTTCACATTTTATATTAATTTTTTACAAACTAAAACTAATGATATCCAAATCCTTATGCATATTTGCGTTTATTTAAAAAAATAGAACAATAAAAAATTTACAAAAAAAATTGAAAAAAAAAATTTAAACAATAAAACTTACAATATATGAAAGTAGATTATAAAAAAAATATGTGTTTTTTATAATTTTTATGATTTTATTAATATTTATTTTTCTTTTTAATTAGTTAATTTTTATTTACATTTTTTTTTAATCACAAAATATTTTTCAAAAAACACCAGGCGCGTGTTTTTCTTAAACGCTTCACTTGTTTCATACATATACACGTATTTAACACCATTTTATTGAATTCAATATATTTTAAGCGTCTTATTTTACTCTTCTATACCTGCTTACTAAGTCTAGTTCTTAATATTTTTTACAGTGCACATATGTATGTACATACATTTGCGTGCATGCCTTTTGAAAGGAAATTATGCAAATCTATGACATTTTTATCTCAGTGTATGAATATATGTGTGAATAAATACTCATTTTGTATAATTTTCTTTTAAGTGTTGTGTAGAGTTTCTTTGTAAATTTGTATGCATGCTTTTAAGTGTGTGTGTGTGTTGTATGTGTACGTTAAGGGGCTCTAATGCAGCAAGGACACTCTCAAAGGTATTTTCAGACAGTTTAGCATGCGTTACCTACATACATACATAAGTAGTGAGTTAATTATTTTTACTTTTGTTATTGTTTTTTCTTTTTACGTAAGTGCGTTTTATATTTATGTACATAAGTATGTCTATGTACATTGTAAAGTTACAGGTATGTGGAAAGTTTGATTTATAAATAATGACAAATCCTAAAAAAAATTTTGTGGGATTTTAAACTTGTTTGCCAAAAAAATTTTGAAATTATTTATATTTTTTTTTCTGGTAAATTATACGTGAAAAATTTAGTTTAAATTTTTTCAAAATAGACAATTAAATAAGAATTTAACGCTTTCTGGTGCTGACAAAAATTGGAGAAAAAAGTTTCAAAAAAAAATTTCAGAATTTGCCTTTAAATTGAAATTGTTCTAGATTTTTCTTATTTGATGCCAAACGATTAGTTTGTCATTTTCCTCATTTGAGTGAGAAATATTCGAAAATCGCATAAATTTAATTGGCTGATGTTACTTTTTGAAGTCTGTTGTTGATTTAAAATTCGACAAATACTCGTATTAGAAAATGCTACAGTTTGAAGAGTGTGAAAGTGATTTGAGTTTCATATTAGGCATTTTTTCAATATTAGTTTCTAATATTAGAAATTAACGAAAATCAATGTCCGAAATAAGAACTTTTTTAAACGAAAAAAGCAGCAAAACTTAATTTGCAACTTGCTTTATTAACGCTTTTCTCATGTTAACTCAATTTTAAGTTTAATTTTGTGTTGCATATATTAGTTTGGAAAAAAATGATTCAAAATTTCGAAAGAAATATTTACAAAATTTTGGTATTTCGAAAACCTATTTTGAAAATTTGCATATTTTTTTTAAGAACTGGAATTTCACCAAAAATCTTTTCTAATCAAATATTTAAAAAAAATCTTGTAAAATTTATATAATGAAATATTAAAAAAAATTTTGGAAAATTAAATTTTTTTGACTTTAAATATTTTTTAGCGAATTATTTTATTTTTTAAGTTTGTAGACTTTTTTCGTTTGTTCTTTTTTTTTTAAATTAGTTTTTGTATTTTCAAATACTTTACAGCTGAGTGGGGTGCATTCTGGTCAACAGTGGTGCCATTAGCCTATAGTAATGTACAGCTTGAAGTATTGGTAAAAAATAGTGTTGTCTAAGCAAAAGAAATCTTTTATAAAAAATACCGAAAATATATTGCTGTAGAAAGGAGTGTAGTTAAATTTTTTTTTTTTTTTTTTGGAAAAATTAAATTTTCATATGGTTTGTATAAGTGTGTTTGCTAAAATCTAAATATATTTCATAAGTCGTAGTGTTTTAATGTTTAATTAATTTTTCTTAATTTTATTATCGGTAGTTTTTATTACAAAAGTCGCTGTGAAGATACATACATATTTATATATGTGGGTTTTCTTGTTACTTATTTTTTTTTAATTTAATTTTTAGTTTTCGTTTTTGTTTTTTATTAATTTTTTAATTTCGTATTAATTTTCTTATGGTCATTTTATATTTTCAATTTCTTATTTTTTATATGTCAATAATAATTCTCAACATTTTTTGCATTTTTCTTTCGCTTTAGTGTATGTATATACGTATATATCTTTATGTACATATGTATGTCGTTCGGTGTATAGTATTATCTAAAATCTTACCTGTAATAGTGTTTGAGTGCTGCGCTAAATCACCTTGTTTTCTCAATTACTGCATATTAATTAATTTAAATTAATTTTATTCATTATTTTTTTTTGCTTTTTTTCTTAACATTTTTTACGCTAAAATTTGGTAGTATCTTATGCTCGTTAAAATTTAGCTAAAAATACATTTGTTTTGTAACAAAAACGAAAAAAGGAGCGTGCAACCAAAAAGCGAGCGAGTCCTTTCTACATAAGTATTCCTAATTTTTACGTTTTTCCTTTTAATCTCCACTTTAAATTTTTTAACTCATTTTTTGTTGTTCTAAATATTCTATATGACTCTCTTTGCTATTAAATATTTACAAGTAAATATTTCTGCTCTATTTCCTAACATTATCGACATATGTATGTATGTATATTCACACTTTCTTATGCAATTTTCTTTGCTTTCGCAACTTTTCGCACTGCGTTCGTTACTTATGTAAGTATTTGCTTTCTTGATTTTTAACTTTCTATGCATAATTTTTCAATTTCGTTGGCATTTCATTTCAATTAATTCACACTACGCGTTTCTTGCCTTCCTTGCAATCGTGTCCTTTCTACAACTATTTGCTACATATGATTTCTGTTCGGTTTGCATTGCTGCTGAGCTCTTCGTTTTTTGTTTTTCGAATTTTTTCCTCAAATCTTTTTCATTAGCGGGCACTAGTTCTCACACCAAATTTCCATATCCTTTTGCATGCATTTTCCTTTGCAGTTGATTTTATTTTTCTATTTAATGTGCTTTGTTTTGTTGTTCGGTGTGTTTGCTTTCTATTTAGTATTTTTTTTCTTGGTTTTTTGTCAGTTTCGGCTTATGACTTACATGTGAGTGTTTTGCTTTTACTCCAAGCTAATTTTTCGGTGCATACACAGCTTGGTGAGCTATTTTTCCTCCTTTTCTAAGTGCAAACTACATCAATATGTATGTACTCGTATATGTGTTGTAAGTGTAAGAATTCACAGGCATATTATTTTCGATCTGTTGTCTTTGCGTAGAAAGAGAAATAAGTGCTGAAAAGACAGAGAGAGAGGGAAAAAATCTTTGAATAATTATTATTATTGTTAAATTTTTTAGAGAAATTTATAACAAAAATTATTGAGCCTTATTGATTACAAAAAAATTAGTTTACTCGCGCTGTTTCCCTTATTAAGACAAACAAATTTGCACTCAAATTATTTGAAACTATTCTAGCAACTCGACGGATAAAAGAACATTGAGTTATGAGTATTATTTATATTAATAAGCAATGAGAAGTCAGTTTTGAGAACTGAGATTTAAAATTGGAGTACTGAGTATTGGGTATCTTGAACTCAGCAGTGTGTATCGGGTTATGAAGTGTTCATGCTTTAAGTATTAATTAGTATTGAATATTGAGTACTCAGTGTTGGATATTACATAATTATTGAGCACTAAGGTATTGAGTATTGATCACTGAGTATTAAGTATTGATTATTGAGTACCGGGTACTGAGTAGTCACTATTTAGTTTTGAGTAAATATATTATTATTGGTATATTTAGTATTCAGTGTAGAGTATTGTGTAATTGAGAATTGAGTATTGAATAATGATTATTGAATATTGATCATTGATAATAAGTATTGATTATTGAGTACCGGATACTGAGTAGTCACTATTTAGTTTTGAGTATATAATATTTAGTATTGAATATTGAGTATTATGTATTGAGCATTTAGTATTAAATATTGAGTACTTAAGTAATTTAGTATTGTGTAATGAGTAATGAGTATTTTAATATTGAATAAGGAAATTTAAGTTATTGATTATTTTATTAGCTGAGTATTGGGCAATGAGAATTGAGTATTGAATACTCAATGTGAAGAATTTAGTGTCGAGTGTTCAGTTTTGAGTATCGAGTATCGAGCATTGAGTAATTATTTTTGATTATTGATCATTGAGGGCAAAAGGCCACTCTATTTTATAGCTCACCGTGTACCTTTGTGTTCTAGAATTCATATAGAATTGGGTTTAAAGTGAAAAAAAAATTTTGAAATAGCGGAACTTTTTGTTTTACTGCAGCCCCTCATAGCATGCGCCAAGTACAATGAAAACTTTAAACGCGTTTTGCTCAAAATCACATTTTTCAAAATGAAAGGACGGATTATTCGGACCCTATTGCACGATTTATCTGAAGTTTTGATGGTGGCTTAAAAAAAAACATTCATGTTTTGGAAAGTTTCGATTTACTGTAAACTTTTTTTTTAATAATTTAGTACGTGGTTTTTAGTCAGAAATCAATCTCTGTTAAAAAAAAAAATTGTGCCGCTTTCACGAAAATTTGTTAAAAAATAAATCCGTACGTACTTCCAAAGACTATCGTTTTTAGATCATAAAATTGTTTGCCTTTTTGTTCTAGGTCTCATCTAATCGGTCCTCCCGGGCGCCTTTCAAAGACGCGTGGATCATTTAAGGGACCTTATAACCGCCATTTTGTAACAAAATAATATTAAAAATTACTTTTTAAATTTCAATATAACACAATAAATTTAAAAAAAGGAGTATATTTTTCAACCTTTAGTGTGTCTTTACCTCTTAATGCGAATATAGAGCATTACTAACCAGCTCAATTCTATGTTACTTTCTATGCTAACAATAACACTTTTAGGAGCTTCATGACCACCAGCTGGTATTAAACCTTTTAACCCATTTCAAATTCCACCATTAAATACAGCGATTTTATTATCTTCAGGTGTTACTGTTACATGAGCTCACCATAGATTAATAGAAGGAAACCATTCACAAGCTACCCAAAGTTTATTTTTTACGGTTTTATTAGGAATTTATTTTACTATTTTACAAGCTCAGTTTTAAAAGGAAGCAGACGACTCTCTGAGTTTTTTCATCGTGGTGTTGTACGAGCTGCTTGCAATTTTATAAGTCTCTTTTGTAATGCTTGAGAAGAAGTTTCCTCTTAAGCTCTATGGACCCTGCAAGTCAATATTGATTTAAGAAATTTCACAAGCTCTGGATTTGACCTCGCAAATAACTCCACAATTCATATATTCGGATATTCTAAGGGACGTTATTAGACTTCCCGGGAAGCAGTGAGTGACGTAACAGCCTTTGTCCGCAATTTTATTAGCAGACGTCACAAATTAGCTATCAACAACTATATGGTAAGGAGGCATCTGGAGCTTTGATAAATATTAAGAAACAGAAATTTAACAATTTTAATATGTCAATGCAGTCCACTGATGAACATTCAAATCATTAGTAATATTCTTAATCGACGAGGTGACATCATTGTCAATATATCAAAAAATTCTAAACGGCGGGCGGCATTTGCGTGCTCTTCTGCGAATCACGCTAAGCGTAATTTTTGAGTGAGCTTGATAGCCGCTGAAGCGATTTTCGGCCGAACTCTTTCTCAAATTTTCGGTTCATGTCAGAAATAAACTCCCTGCAAAGGGACAACCGTAGTTGGATCAAAGACTCAAACCCTGGCCTTCCGAATGGCCGGACGTAATGCTAACCACTCTGCTATTGAGGCCACCAGGTGCAGCTATGAGGGCAACTACTAATAAGATCCAGATTGCTAAAGAGTTTTATGAAGTTCTATGACAATGTAGAGCGCCTTGGGATTTGAAATATTTTCAAATACTCAAACTTTTTTAAATATTTTCACATAAATGAAGTTTAAAAAATATTTACAACTCACCTCAATACTATTGGTTTTTCATCAATGATACCACAGCCTATTTGCTTTTTGTTGTTGTTGTAATTGTAAAAGTTGTTGTTGTTGTTGTTGCTGATTTACACGTGAAACATTTGACATCGGTCCATCGGTTGTGGGTGTTTCGGCGTTAGGCGTTGTTGCATCTGCTGTTGTTGTTGCGGTTGCTGTCGCTGCTACTGCTCCTTGAGCTGCCTCTATTATTGGTTCAACTGAGCTGTCACTACTATCATCAACACACCCCACTGTAGTTGTATCTGGTAACTGTTTAGAAATACCTTCGAATGTGTTTGTTGTTCCTGCCGCCATTGTTGGTGTAGTACCAGTGGTTGGCGTCAAAGCGAGCATCTGTTCCGAGTGTGCGGAATTGCGTTGATTGAATTCCCCACTAGTTCTATCGCCACCAACCTCACGACGTGCCACCACACCATTTACGGTAGCTGTGCCTGCAGCTGCTGTTGCCTTTGTTGCAATTGCTGTTCCTGTTGCTGATGTAGCTTCTGGCGTGCCTGTGGGTGCTGACGAGAGCCGCAAAACACGCAACTGATGACGTGGTGGTGGCGGCGGATGATAGTATGATTGTGACATTTGCTGTCGTTGCTGTTGTTGTTCGCGCTTGCTTTGTGGCAAATGTTGTGTTTGCCGCTGCTCCTGTTGTTGTTGTTGTTGTTGTTGTTGGTAGTAAGCGTATTGCGGCTGTAGATGCGGATGTGGTGATTTGCGGTATGGATGCAACTGACAGTTGCCAACACCGTTGCCCACCACACCGCCCAGACTTGTATTATTATTATGATTGTTGTTGTTATTAATGTTACTGCTGTTGTTGTTGTTATGCGGCTGATGATGGCTGCCACTTTTCATATTCAGTAGCGTTAAACTGTACTTGGGTTTCGTTGTTGTTGCCGCTGACGTTGTGCCGGCGTTGCCGAAATGTTGCTGTTGCTGCTGTTGTTGTTGTTGCAGATGTAGTTGCAACTGTTGTTTCTTCGGCATCGTGCTGATTAAGCCAGTTCGCATATACTTTTGACCGCCACTCACACAATCCAATCTATTACCACCACCACTGCCACCATTTAAGCCCATCACCTCAGCATCAGCTTTCATACTGTCAACATTCAATCCACCACTGTCAACTTCTACGCCACCAACACCACCGTGCAACGTCAATGTTTCAAACTAAAGATTATCTGGATAACTGCGGAAGTTATAAGTTCTGGCGCGTTGGAACTGCATCGAATCAATGCCAACACCTACACCACCGCCGCTGCCACCACCGCCACCGACACCATTATAGGCATTCAACATCGGCGCCGTCGATTGTGAATTCATGGTGCCCATGCCATCGTCATAGTTATTATGTTCACTACTGCTGCTGATGCCACTATTGCTGCCGCACTTACCAACACTGCTGCCGGATTTGTGGGTGCTGCTGCTGCCACCACCACCGCTATTGCTGCCCATTGTGCCGCAATTACTGCCGCCCGAGGGACCCTTGATTGGCTTGAATATCGCTGTGGTCGCATAATACTTCTCCATTGGTGGTGGCGGCACTGAAGGCGGCCTTGGAAAAATCGCACTCAATGGCGGTGGTGGGGTACGACGCACATTCACATAACCGCCAACGACACCGCCGCCGGACATGGACATCTTGGTGGCGGGCATGTAATCTTGCATATGTGGAACGGCGTAGCCGCCTTCGGGTACGTCTGCAAATATGGCAAAAAAGTTAAAAACTTACGTTAATGGTGGGCTTAATAAGAGTAAGGTGAGGTAAGTAAGAGTAAGGTAAGGTATGAGAGAGAGAGAGAGGTGCGTTTGCATGTATGCAGTAAAGTATTATCAAGGGTGTTGAAGATTGAGTAAATATTCCGTTAATAGACTGGCATAAATAAAAGTCATAGTGTAATCCGTAGAATAAAACTAAAGAAAATATATTTTCTCCCGCACTAATCCTTTTGAGCGACTAAAACTGGTCATTTCCGTATCAAAAGTCAAGTTTACAATGCTTAATTGAATCCACCTTGGTGTAAGGCATGTAAAAAATGATCAATTAATTGTAGCAAAGTAAATCAAAAGAAGTAATTGAATTTTATATTAAACAGTAACAACAAGTAAAAATCTATATATATGGAAATTGTAATTAATAAATATATAAATTAAAAAATTATTTTAAGAAAATTAAATGGAAACAAATTAATCAATATAATAAAACTTGAATGAATCTAGAAATTAAAATAATAAATTTTATTATAAATATCTGATAGAACATGAATTACAAGCAAATTAAATAAATGAAATAAAAAAATATAAAAAATTAAACCCAACCTATTCAATTAAATAAAATAAAAATAATAAAAAATTAAATAAGTTTATTAAAAAAAAAAAAAAAAGTATTAAATTAAATTTATTTAAAAAAATATAAAATAAAACTAAAAAATATATATAAAAAATTTAAAAATAAAAAAAGAAATAAAAAAAATTTAAAAATTTAAAATTAAAAAAAAAAAAATAATTCAAACCAAACTTAAGAAAAATACATAAAATGGAAGAATGTATAAAAGTAATAACGGGTGATCCAAGAAGATGTACTTTCTTCAATAGCCTTTTTTTATAGAACACACGTGAGTCGTGTTGTGCAGTATTGTTCGGCATTTCATCATGGAGAAATTTCCGTCGAGCTACGTTTATAAATCGCTCAAATTTATTACAAAAATTCAAATTCTGTGAAGAATGTGTTTAGCGCGCTCCGCTTAATTTATGGGCAACACCATCACCCATCTTGACCTACCCAAGTGACATGGCTTCGCTCTTTGGGCTCTTGAAAAGTTCCAAGAAGATCCGAGCCAAATGGACTATATCGGTGATCGCATTATGGTTTCGTTGCTAGAATATTTCGGTGAGCAAGATCGTGTGATATCATACCGGAGAATTCTACTTTGATTCAGGCATTGGACCAAACATCACGCGTGTCAATCGCCAAATGCCCAATGCTCGAACGGCTAGTCGAAAATCGGAGTCAACGGATGCAACTTCTGAGACGTAGCCGCGGTTGATATTTTATACTAAGTAATCTTCAAAAAATAAATGACGAAGAATATTCGATCGAAATCGGATACCCCATTAAATTCGAAGTTCGAACAAGAATGAAATCAGAAATAATTACAAAAAAAAAAGTTGCTATAATTAAATTTAACAAAAGAGTTTTTATATTGAGTGAATGTATTAAAATAAAATTAAACATTAATGTAAAAATTAACAATAAAATAGAAAATAATTTAAATAATATGAAAAATAAAAAACATTGTTAAATAAAATAAAATTCAATTAATTTATATAAAACATAACAAATTAAATTCATTAAATTAAAGTAAAATTGGATAAAAAAATAAATATAAATTGAATTATTTAAAAAAAAAAAAATAAATTGAAATAAAATACAATATATTTAGTAAAATTAATTAAAGAAATGAAAACAAAATTAACTTGAAGAAATAGCAACATTAATTAAAATAGAACCAAATAAAAGAAAGCTAATATTAAATTTGAATATAAAAAATATTAAATCAGATAAATAAGACAGCATAAAACTGAATTAATCTAACTAAAATGAAATGAAAATATAATATATATATATATATAAATTGAAATAAAACAAAATAAACTTATTTAAATTAATTAAAAAAATGAAAACAAAATAAAAAAAATTTAAGAAATAGTAGCAAAGAAATAAGACAAATAATAGGAAAAAATAAAAACAAGAAAAATTAAAATAATAAAAAAAAATCAAGAAAGGGAGTTGCTGTAGGTTCCTGAAAACTCTTATAACATTTCATGTATTAGAGATCATACCTTATAACTAGTTCTATCACAAGTTCACAATTAATAGTTATTTCCCTGTGGGCTCTTTTTTTAGTTTTCGCGAAAAAGAATTACGATAACGATACAATTTCCTCAATACATGAACTGTTTAGTAACACATAGAGGTCTTGGCTCGTTTTGTTTACATTGGCAACCCTAAAAGTTGGTTTGTAACATATATTTATACATATCCATACATATTTGTGTACATATATACCTTTGCACATATGGTTATATTCGATACACATATTAACCCAACACTCTATTAACGCACTTTGTGGCTTCCCCAATTGGAGCGTGCCACCATTAAAGCTGCGACCTTTTACCTCTATGTAAATATAACATATACCTGTATGTATATGTGCAACTTGTCTGTCTTATATTTCCTTGCCTTTTCGTTTCTTTTGCCAATTTCCATTTAATTACTTCCACTACTTCACTTTACTTTGGCTCACTTTGGATTAGTTCGCTTCAGTTAAGTTCATTTTACTTTACTTTACTTTAGTTTTGTTTACATTCAACCTTTTCTCCACACTTTTAGTGCTGATATATGTACATATTTTTGAAACCCCTATCGCTTACTTTGACCACTTATTACTCCACCAAAGTAACCGACCAAGCAACCCAATTGTGGCTATTGTGGTTCTCTACGATTTTGCTCTGTACTTTTGCCATTTTGTTTACGAAGTGTAAATACCATATATAACATTTGTATTGTTGTTTGTGTTAAAAAGTATTATTTTATATTTCTGTAGCATACCTGTATAGTCTGGCGTCATATTACATTGTAAATCATTTACTGCCGCATAACCGTTAACACCGCTCGTATACATATTCACATTGAATGGCTCATGATAGAGACTGTTCTTTCCAATGGAATCATTATCATCGACGCTGGCCTGTTTGGAAGAAGAAGAAAATTATGATTATAAATATTATAATGAAATATTTGCATAAAGGGTGGTCTATGGTTTCAGTATATCATACATATTTTGGCCAAATATAAGTACATACATATTCGTATGTATTTATAAGTTTAGCATTATACTTAAGTTTCAACTTTCAGGAACTTTTTTTTTGGTTGCTACTTTATTTTTAGTTATCTTGCAATTTATTTGAATTTAAATATAAAAAAATGTTGTATTCTTCAACTAAAAAAGGAAGTGCGTAGCTCTTCCCCTTCCACTTTGATGATTTCATAGACGCATTATTGGTAATCATTCCGTTTTAATGAGTATTGCTTAAGCCAAAGACAGATAATCTCTTCAACAATTTCTATCCGTCATAAAATTTTTCAACTTTTCGTCTAACACCACACATACTTCACTAGCTCTCATTGGCATCAGTTTACTTTTGCCATTAACTAACTTTGCACATAGTAGCTAATGCAGTGCTTAATCCTGGGAAGTTAACTTAAGCAGTAGAATATGGAATAGGAGAAAAGGTAAAACAAAAATGTTACACCATAAAGCCACTAGAATGCATTATGGTAAAGGAAAATATTAGCTGAGGGGCGAGTTAAAACATTGGTCATATTCAGGCTTCCCGAACACTCACTCAGCTGAAAGTGCTACTTAATAGCCCAACAAAAGTGTCAATAAGGAAAATGGAACATAGAAATAAAATAGGGCGGGAAGCCATACACTAAAATAGTAGAAAATTAAAGCAACAAAAATACTTAGATTAAACTTGCAGTAATGTACTAATAAGTTGTATTTAAGAAAATAAAATAAATTAAAGTAAAAAGGAAACGAAATTTAGAACAAAGGAAAAGCAAATGAAATGAAATTAAATTAAATGTAATAAAATAAATTAAACAACAATAAAGTAATTCCAAAAAAAAAAAAATATAAAACATTCACACTCTAAAATATTAAATTAAATTAAACAGAATGAAGAAAATAAATAAATTTAACAACAAACAACAAATAAAGATAAAATGAAATCAAACAATATAAAATAGAATAAAACAAAAAAATAAAATCTCAAAACAAAAATGAATAAAACATAGAAGAGCATTTAACAAAATTGAAGTAAATAAAAGAGCAACCAAATTAAATAATATAAAATAATATTTATATATTATATATATAATTGGCGCTACTAAGCCGCCTTCGAACGGCTGATGGTTTTTTTTACGAGGAGTCTTTATTTCAAGTCAGAAATACACTCGGAGGGGTTGACATTCCCTGCCGAGGGCGACCGCAATTAAAAAATTTTACTAATTTTTCATTTAAAATCTAATAGCTGAAAATTTTTTTACTCCTAATAGTATAAAATAGAAATAAATAAAGACCAAATGAAGGATATTATTTAAAAAAAATTTATTTATTAGTTGGCATGAAAAATAATACTTAAAAACCAAAACTATATTGAGTAAATTAAAATAAAATTTATTTTACTAATTAAAGAAAATAACATGATGTAATACAATATAAATATTGAATAAAACGAAATAAAATCATAATAAATAATATTAAAATACAAAAATAAAAAATAAATTATATCTTTACTAAAATACTCTACAGCCAAATAAAACCAAGTACAAAATTCAAAAAATAAATAATATATTAAAATAAACTTTATTGAAATAAAATTTAAAAAAGACATAACAAAAAAAGAAATATATGAAAAATATTATGGGAATATATAAAACCTTTTTGCTGGTATTGAGCATATGTACCCATTTCTTGATTTCTAAAGTACATGACCATTCCCTATGCAAACGCCGATTGGGTGCTTGAACAAGTATTAGACGGCGATTTTTCGAACAAAATTTTCTTCAACGACAGGAAATATTCTTTACTCAGGGGATAAGTCAGCCGAAGGACCGTAAATGTGCGGATAAACCTTTAACTCTTAACTCTTCAACTTAAAAACAAACATTAGTCAAGTTTCGACTGAGATACTGCACAATATGTGCCAAAGAGTGATTGAAAATTATCTCAAACGGATCTAAGTTTTCCGAAAATAGTGAGGAGGTCATTTTTATGATGGGGCGTCACACATATATTGCCAAAACCGCAAAATGGTTAACCCTGCATTATAAATATATATGCATATCTATTTGTAATAAAAGTTCACATGCAATTTATATATAATTACTGCCAATCGCACTTACCTTAATACCACCGCCGTTGGGTCGATGTTTATCCACATTGCCGCCCAGCGTGTTTGGGTTGAAACTATATTGGAATGCATCCAGGACATTACTGCCGCGTGCACGCTTCGTACGCGTTACAATACAGAATATGGCGCCGACAAGGCCAATAATTATCACCGTTAGAATAACAATAACAATACCAATTGAGAATTTCTCCGATGGTTCCTGATCGATGGGACGTGGAGCAATTACTGTGGAAAATAAGAGGAAAAAAAAAGAAATGTATAGTGAATGAAAGAGCAATGTGTTCAAGGCAACGAAAAGGGGAGAAATAAGTATACCAACAGTAAAATACTAATTATATGTACGAGTAGCACAAGTGCACTCACTTTAAGTTAAGTAAAATGTATATGTACATATGTATATACAGTCATGTATTTACTATTAACCGTTAGTTGTAAGCAATTTGTACTACCCACATTAAATTAAAGATAAATATTTAAAGGGAAAATAATGTTTTCAATTATTTGCCAAGCGCACACATTTAATTATTATACGAAAATGCTTTTTTATCGTTTTATCTTCTCCTACGCTTTGTACAATCTATAACTTTTTGTTTTATTCATTTCAACTGTCATTAACCTCCATACTTATTTTCTGCTAATTTAAATTGTTACTTTTTTATGATAATTTTTATATATTTTCAGTGTCACTTACATTGCGGTCCATTGTTATAGCCGATGCCAGCGCCTCCAGCAGCGCCAGCCGCTGCACCCATACCACCGTCGCTCATGCCACCGCCGCCGCCATTCATTGTGCCCATTTTGCCCATGCCATTCTTTTGTCCATGATGATAGTCATTACTTTGTAATGGATATTCGCGTGTGTCCTGTGGCATCGTGGCTCGCTGCTCAGACTCATCTGTGAAATTTCCCACGGCTGGTACTGGAAGTGAAATAACGAGAAAGAAATGTATTAAAAAATGTTCATAATATAAGGTGTTGAATTAATAATGGACAAATATTGAAATTTTCACCGGATATTTTTTTAATAATTATTAAATATTGCCAATGTTTGTGTTTTCAATTATTAATCTCTATACTGTAAGCGTATGTAAGTATATTTAATATTTCATATAATTTTTTAATCAAAATTTCAAAGTAAAACAAAACCAAATATATAAAATCCTGTGAAACAAATTAAAATAAAACGTAATACAATATTATAATATAAAATGAAAAAAATAAAATAAAATAAAATAAAATAAAATAAAATAAAATAAAATAAAATAAAATAAAATAAAATAAAATAAAATAAACTATAATAAAATAAAATAAAATAATAAGAAGTACAAATAAAATAGAAAATAAAATAAAAAATTAATTTAAATAAAGTAAAATACATTAAAATAAAATAAAGAAAATTAAAAAAAAGATTAAATGAAATAAAACAAAATAAAAACAGACAAAAAACAATAAGAAATATATTAAATTAAAATAAAGTATAACAAAAAAATAAAGAAAAAGTATTAAATAAATAATAAGAATAAATATATAATATAAATAATGAGAAATAATGCAAATAAAAATAAAATTAACTCAAATAAAATACTAAAAATAAAAGTAAAAAAAATAAAACGAAATGTAATAAATAAGATAAGAAATAAAAAAAAAGTAATTAAATTATAATAAAATAATATAAATAAAAATAATCTAAAGATTACACAATATAATATATTGTAATATAATACAGAGAGAAAAAAAAAACAAAGATTAAAAAAAGAAAGAAAAGTTAGTTTTTACTAGTTAAAAAATTTAAAAAAAAATTAATATATAAAAGTAGAATAAATTGAAAAAATATGTATAAATATAATATAATGCAATATAATATAATGCAATCAAAAAATTAGAAAAAAATAAAAAAATTGCAATTTTTTTTTACTTAAAGTAAAAAATAAGTACACTAACATATATCAAATAAAATAAAATCAACATAAACAAAGTAAAATAAAATAATAAAAATAAGTTATTAGAAAAAAATTCAAATGATAAAAAACAAATTTTAATTATAAAATAAATACCGAATAAAATAAAATATTAAAAAAAAATTCAAATTGATAAAATACAAATTTAAATTATCAAACAAATACCGAATTTGAGTTTAATAAAAGAGAATTAAGCAAAGTCAAAAAATATAACAGTCAAATAGAAAATATTAAATAATTAAAAAAACAACGTAAAATTAAATGAAAATGGTTTAAGATATAAAATTATTTAATAAATAGAATAATTACAAACAATTAATTATAATTAAAAATTATAATAATTATATTTTCAATTAGACTAACTAAAATAAAATGAAGTCACAAATTAAAAATAGAAATAAATATAAAAGATGAAAATAAAATCATATAAAAGTGATAAAAAATAAAATTATATATAAAATAAGGTTTTCTGTAACTCATTTTATTTGGAAAAACTTTTCAAATCAATATATGCCGGATAGTATCTTTGCACTTAGGTTTTGAGATTGATTTTGTCGAGGTGAAAATATGCAAGGTAAAAAATTAAATTCGTTAAGCTTGAATTTCCTAATCTACAATTTCATTTACTCAATCATTTGACTTCACGACGAGGACGACACCTTTTTCCTCCATTTCCTTTAATCTTATAGACACCCTTACTTTTGGGTATGTAAATATGTAAATAACATCTTCATCCTTATTTCTCTTTTATTAAATAAGTTTTAATCAGAGCGTGACATTTTGCCGTAAAACTCTCCAAGCCAAATAATAATGCACACTCAAACATATTTTTTTCCCAGCTGCTGCCATTTTCAAGTTAATTTCTTTGGCAGTTGCATCTCTTTTTTTAATTTTCTTCCGCTTATTTGTTTATTCTTCATTTTCAATAATTCACCATTTAGTTCCATTACGAATCGCATTCGTTTCAGTACATTTTTTAATTTCTTCCGTTAATTTTTTACGCTTGTATTTCCAGATAAGCAAGGGAAAAGGCACGAATTTGTGAACTATCAAGCGATATTCTGGGGCATTTTCGAGGAAAGTAAAAACTTCCTTAGAGACAACAAATCAATTTAAAAAACTTTGAGTACCCACGTACATAATTATATATATATGTATTGATGAGGTGAAGCACAACGACTGATACATACATAAATTGTCGCATCAGTCTATGTTTTCAGTTTAATTTCGAATAATATATACATACATATATTCCACAAATATGTATATATATATATATGTCTATATTGAAAGCCTTTTTCTACATATGTATGTACATATGTTCATTTACAATACATAACTCTATATATTTTTGTTTCGCGCTTTTAAGGTTGGGTGACTTAATTTCCTGTTTATAATGAAGAGCTTCGCGCTCTTGATGTGGTTAATAAAAGGATATTGCGGTCAACCCTTAAGTTTGCTGTATTCCATGGTTCCATGCATACTTTTGAGGAAATTAAATACAAGCATATTCAAATATATATATGTACATATATATGTATATATATATATATATATATATATATATGTTATGAATGCACAGAGCATCTAAAATCGTGCATAATTTACAATCATGAAAGGTTCTGATAGCTAATTTGTGTTAGGTTGGATCACGCGGAGCGGCGCATACACCAGTTCTTCGCAGAGGAGGTATATTTTATCGCGATCTAAAGTAGTCGTCGTGTAGATCGTCAACGCTTTTCGGGAAAATTCAGTGAGTCTTAATACCCAATTCGGAAAACTCTTCTAGTCTTTTGAGCTGCGAAACTACGAGTTATTTAAGTTCTAGCTAAATCCGGACAGAAATAGAGTAGAGTTATTCTAATGTTTCGTTTATTCTATGATTTTATGTAATGCGAGTAGGTTGTGGCTCATCATTAGGCTAAGAGCTGTCTATGATATGTCTTAATTCCTAACGCGTCCCATCTCACCTGGATCCGGCAGCCAGCACTTTCGTAAATTTCATTATAGATCACCGGCTTTTTGACTCCTATGCCAGTTTATTAACAAGAGGAATGACACTTATGACAATCTTATCAGCTATTTATTTTATTTTATTTTATTTTATTTTTTTATTTCATTTATTTTTTTTTTATTTTATTTGATTTTATTAGATTTTATTTGATTTTATTTTATTTTAGTTTATTTTATTTTATTTTATTTTATTTTATTATATTTTACTTTACTACTTTCAGCATGAAAAATTCGAAAAGGAAAGTTAAAGAGAACCAGGTTTGGTATTATAAACTATTATTGGTTTTAATAAAAACCATTAAAAATACAAATGCTCTGTACATACAAATATAAAATAAATAAAATAAATAAATACATAATTTTCAACTCATGTGCGAATATATTTAGTGTTGTATATATATAATACACACATATGTTTGTAAAATAAACAATGAAAAATTAAATTTCATTGCGTTCAGCATGTATAAAATTGTCATTTCATGGTAGAGAATGGAATGTAGACAAAACCATTTGGGACAATTTGAGACAACACTTGAGGCAATTACCGCTCAACAAATTGTCACGCACAATAACAAAAACAACAAAATAAAGGGTACCAGCAAATTTAGAAGAAAGCTTGCCACAAAATATATATTATATGCACATATGTACAAACTAGAAGAAAGAGCAGCTGCTGGTCCTTACCGCTGCGGGTTACATTTTCTTTATTGCTTGCAAAACGCAAACGCATTGTTCAGCAAACAACAAAGGATAGTAAAAAGGATGTGAAAACGCAGTAGCCACAGAAAGGACGTTGAATGTCGGAATAAGTTTACGTACATACGAGTATGTACCCTGCAGGTAAAGTGTATGCAAAAAATTCTAGTTGCATTTAAAGGACGAAAATATACTAGTTTGCAATAGACTAGAATTATACTAGTATTTTTCCGAAAATACTGCACTATTTTGCAAATATTCTTGTATATGAACTAGCACTTTCCGGGAAAAATTCATACCTGTTTTTTTTTTGTAAAAATTAAGAAATCTCATAAGTAACTATTTAGAAGCTCTGACCGAATATTATTAGACTTGCCGCTATAACAAGAAGAATAACCACATATATGTAATAACGGGTATTTATATATTGTTCAATTGCAAAAGTTGTTAAGTTGTTAAGCTTCCAAAATATCGAGCATTGTATGATCCACTTTCTGGAAAGAAATACTATACAAAATTTCATGTTCAAGTGAAAATGTAAAGCATGGAAATTTTAATTTAAATAGGTGATTTTTCAAGGGCTATAGGAAAGTTAAAAAAAAAAACATAAAAAAAATCCAGAAAAATGCATAAAATCTTTATTTGAATCGATAGTACGGTCCAATTCTAAATAGATTCTAGTTAACAACAAGTATTTTCACCTGATGGGTGTTTGCATACATGCATATGCTACTGTGGCATAAATATAAACATGTATGTACCGTTAAATTAAGCAAATAAGTGCTACGACGCAATAGGCAAAAAAAGATAAGCACTTGAGAATTTTTCTAAAAGTGAAAAGAAAACAATAAATAAAATTAAATAATATTAAGCAAATGAAAAGAGGTAAATAAGGGCAAGCAAAAAAAAAAAACATTACAGAAATACTCTAAAATTAGAAAATCACAAAGAAAATAAAGTGCTTAGATAAATAAAGTGTTCAAGAGGTTGCTTGAAGAGATACAAAAAAAAATTGTAGTAATAAAAAGGTAGTAGAACTTTAGTCCACACGAAGAGTGGAACAAAAGGGTTTAACAAAAAATAAGGGTATGCCTGGCCTGAATTTCAAGTGGAATGAGACGTTTAAGGATAATAATTGAGTCCTGACGAGCAGGATATGTATGTGTAAATTCATGTGACGTAGTTGAAAAAAATCTGCCATTGAATATGCGTTCAGTACGCTATTGTATTTGAATTCATTTACTGTCTAAAG